CTCTCTCTCTCTTTCTTTCTCTCTCTCTCTCTCTTTCTCTCTTTGTCTTTCTGCAGAGGGAGCAGGGAGTGAAAGGAGGCATGTGGGATGAGGGAAGCAGGGAGGAGGAGGGAGGAGGGAGGAGGAAGGAGATTGCAATTGAATGTGATTGCAATGCGATGCAATGCGATTCCAATGCAATGCGCCCGGGGCCCAGAGGCTTCGGCGGTCGTAGCGACGCGCATAAGGAGAGAGCCGCGTGATGCTCAGTGTTTCTTTTCCTTAGGGCGCAGCGGAGCTGAAAAGGGGTCGCCCGCTTCCAAAAAAAACAGTCATTCATTCATCAATTCATTTATTCATTCATTCATTCATTCATTCAGTAATTCATTCATGCATTCATTCATTTGTTGATTCATCCATCCATCCATTCATTCATTCACCCATCCACTCATTCATTCAATGGCCTCAGACTCAATTCTTTCCTTTGCTCAATCTCTGACCGCCGCGGCTCGCGTCGCATGTGGATAGAGAGAGAGAAAGAGAGAGAGAGAGAGCGAATGATGCTCCTCCCCCCCCCGCTCTTCCACTTCCTCAAGATGGTTGGTCCTCAGCCTGCGACATCACTCATTATCCTTCCTCATTGCCATCCCTGCAGTAAGAAGCAACAGCAATGATGCAATAGCAATGGGTACAACAGGAACAACAACAGAACGCCCCACAACCTATGATGATGATGCTGTAGATGATGGTATAGATGGCGGCGGCGATGCTGGAGCAGATGTTGACGAACGTGCTGATGTCCGACGTATGGGGGTTCTTATTGAACTCAGCGTGAGAGATAGAGAGAGAGAGGGAGAGAGAGAGAGAGAGAGAAAGAAAGAAAGAAAGAGACAGAGAGAGGGACAAAGAGAGATGCAGAGAGAGAGAGAGAGAGAGAGAACGAACACCCAGTAACATGATAAGAACAAGAAAAGGGGCAAACAATAACAATAAGAGAGAACAACAACGAACAAAACAGCCGCGGCGCGAGGAAGCAGCGCACGCCACATAGTCTTAAAAGTCCCCCCCCCCTTGCCTCGCCGCTTCGTTGCAGGAGTGCGGCATCATTGCAAGGGGGGGCGTTCCGCGCCCCCCCCGCTTGCTTCGTCGCGACCCAGCAGGAATGGGCCCGCATTGCAGAACGGCGCGCCGCTTCCCGGCAGTAGCCGGGCCTTGTGGTAGGGGGGGCGCGCGCGCCGCGCCCCCCCTTGCCTCTTTGCGTTCTGGCGTGGATAGGGTAGAATATAAAAAGTGTCCATGTTGGATTGGAACCTAGACTGATCTCTCAGCGGTGACTGGTACGATTTCCATTTTAACATATGTAGATGTGCATGTTATACTTTTGAGAATGCACCTCTCCGTGCACCTACGCCGCGGCGACCGAACCCGCGCGCGGGGAGTTCTGTATAGTCCATGGTCGAAGATCTGCCTTGCTGGCGTGGAAAAAAGCAGTGGACCTTCAGCGGTGACCAGCTTGATGTCCAACTTCGCTTGGGGTTTGGTGTATGTTACATATATATATATATATACATATATATATATATACATATTGTAGATCAGACAGAAGTATCCAGGCGCGCGCGGGGAGTGCTGTTATGTCCACAATGGAAAAGTTGCCGTGTTAGCCTGAGAACTCAAGTGGGCCATTAGCTGTGACTGATTGCATTTCCAAATCGAGTTTGGTTTTGGTGTATCTACGATGGCAATACAGAGCCCTCCGCGCGCGCATGAAAAGGCTGTGTACCGTCCACATGAGAAGAATAGCAATGTTGGCTTAGAAAGTAAGCTGGGTCTCCTAGCGGTGACTAGTTGGATTTCCAAGTGAACATGGGTTCTGGTTTTCGTGCGCGTGGGGAGGTTCGAAGATTCACATCACAGAAGTTGATGGATTGGCTTCGAAGCTAATTGGTCCCTTACCGGTCACGGCTTGGACTTCAAGGATTTCAAAGAGACCGTGCGCATTCGCATGCCAACAAGGCTTTGTTGCGCGACGCGCGAACGCGCGTGCGGGTTGAAAGTCCCGTAGCGCTCACATTAAATCTTAACGGAGTCGCCATGCTGGCCTTGGGTCGTTTTGCTGCGTTCGCGGAGTCGCCACCTTGGCTTGGATGCCAAGTTCACGTGCGGCTTCACGTGTTTATCATTCGATGCAGCGCACGACGCGCGCGGGCTGGTGGCGAGTTCTTTAGCGTTCGAATTTGGTAAGTCGCCATGCTGATCTGGAAACGAAAGTGAATTTTTAGCGGCCACCGATTGAATGCCCAATTGAACACGTAAGTTCACATGCCACTTGGGCGGTGCAGCGAACGACGCGTGTGTGTGTGTGTGCAGATGTTTGCATTGTTCACATTACAAGGGTTGTCCTGTCGGTTTGTAACCAAACAGTTGGTCCCTTAGCGGTCAACGATCGGGGCTCCAACGTAACATGCGTTTTCAGGTTTCATCTTTAGGGTGCAGAGTACGACGCGCCCGCGCGCCCGCGCGCGCGGGTTGCGAGTTCCCTACTGCTCACATCCGAGAATTTGCCATGTTTAGCTGGAAACTAAAGTGATCCTTGGGTGGTGATCGGCTGGTTTTCCAAGGGGACATCCTTTTTTTCATGCCAGTCAGGTGGTGCAGCGCGCGACGCACGCGGATGGCGAGTGGTGCACTCTCACATTGAATAGGTGGGAAGCGGGAGAGAAGCGGAGGGAAGGAGGAGGAGGAAAAAGAAGAGGAAGAGAAAGAGGAGGAAGAGGGGTAGGAGGAGGAGGAGGTTCGGAGGAGGAGGAGGAGTGGGGAGGGAGGAGGTGCGGAGAAGGAACCAGCGGCGGCGTCGGCGTCGTCGTCGTCGTGGTCGTCGGCGCCCCGATCGTCCACACGGACGACCGCGACGATGACGAACACGGCGACGACGACGACAACGGCGGAGGCGACGACGAGGGCCCCGCCGCCGCGGTCTCTTACCGAAACAATTTTCGTAATCGTCTTTCCCTCCGCGCCGCCACTCTCGTGGCACCTTGAGCGCCTCTGGAGGAGGGAAGCAGGATTGTCGGCCTTCGGCCCACGGCGATCACCACGCTAAGTCGTCAACTGGCGACGCCTTCCCACCCGGGGGCGCCTGGGAGAGCCCCAGGAGGGCCCGGTGGTCGCTAGGGGGGGCCGGCGGGCCTTTGACCAGTCCGAGTTGTCACCCCTCTTTTCGGGCCCCCCCGAGCCTCCCAGACGACCCAGGGGCCAACCCGAATTGTCCGCCGTCCGTGGGCCGAGCTCTGCGGTGCCGCGTGGCCGGCAAAACTATTTTTTGCACCGTCAGCCTAAAATTCTTGCCTTGATCGTTTGCCTCCATCACGGCGCCTCCTCTGCTCTCTTTTAGCTCCGCGCCCAGGCGCACACCTGCAGCACCTGTCCGCCTGCTTGTGATCCAATGGAGGGGCGGCCACCCCACCGCCCACAGCTGGCGCTTGCCAAGCTGTCCCCCTCGCGCCTGCCAGACAGCCCCTCCTGCCCAGCTCGACTCCTCCTTCGGGCGCGCGTCGCAGCCAAGACTTAAGGCGGGCATGTCCTTGTACAGGAAGAATATTCAAAAGTTGCCCTGATATAGTCTGGTGACGTTTTCTCGTGTTCTTAGCGCCGGCAGGAGGACATGCCCCGCCTCAGCCGACTTGCTGAAAGCAGGACCACTTTGGGTCCAGGACGGGGCCGCTCCTCGGAGCCAGGACTCTTAGAACACTTCTTGCTGGGACTGTCTTGTCTGAACACACCGGGCTTGTCTTCTGAGCAAGCCGTCAGCGCTGGGTTCTAAGAACCTGTCGTGGTGAGCCTCTTGGGAGTGCCGGGACGGTCGGTCCCCGCTCACGGGAGGGCGCCGGGCCGCTCGACCCGCCGCCGCGAAGGCGCCGTGTGCGGAGGCCAGGGCCGGGGAGCCTGCCCACCGCCAAGGCTCGCCGTGGCCAGGAGAGTCCTCCACCAGGGAGCCAGGGGCGCTCCCGGTGCGGGCGTGGCCGCTTCCGCTCGCGGGCTGGTGGCCGCTCGCGGGCGTGGCGTGGAGGGCCCCTCCGTGGCTCGCTCCGGCAATCCTCCTGGCAGCACGGCGGCTGTGAGCGAGCGAGCCTGAGATCCCTCGCGTCGAAAACATCGGGAGGCATCGTGAAACATCGCGACTTGAGCCCTGGACCCCATGTTTCTGAGCCATTTTTCGGGCCGGATCCATCTACGCGGGTCCCGGGTCCCGAACAAAAGGCGAAAACGCGCGGCTCGAAAAAATTGAGTCGCTGGGATTTCAGGGGAGCCGAGGTGACCTTGACGGGGAGGGCAGGCGGAGGCCGCTGGATGCACAGACTGCGCGGCCGTCGCTGCCGCTGAGCGCCAGGGCTCCCGCCGCGCGCCTCGGCCTTTCGGGGGGGCCCTGGAGGCCTCGGGAGCTCTCGGGAGGCCTCAGGGAGGCGGGAGGATTTTGGAGGCGCGAGCTGTGGGGGGAAGGGTGCGACGGCGACGGTGGCGGCGACGGTGATGTAACGACGACACCGTTGTCATACCAGCAGCCGTGGTCGTCATCATCACCAGCGTCGTCGCCACCGCCCTCTTTATAAGCCTGGAACGTGTACTTATCCCCATGATTGGCATCGCCTGATTTGGGTGCCGATCTTAAGGCTGCCCTTGGTTTCTGAGGGCGCATCCCTGAGATTGTCATCGTATTTTAGCTTGTCAATCTCAGGGGTAGAGAAAAGTTCCTGGCTGGGTGCCTCCTCGTCATCGTTGTCCGACGTCGTCCAGGCGGGGTTGCTAAAGGTGCCCTTTGTCCAAGGTGCCCCCAGCTTTTCGCTCCATTCTGGAGCCCCTGGGGCCCTCTGGGGCTCTTGAGGGGTTCTCGGGAGGCCGCGGGGGCCTCCTTGGAGATCCGGGGGGCACCTCGGGCCAGGGGAACTTCTGGCCACGTACGACCCTCCTCGTCGTCCTCGTCCGACGCCGTCAAGCCAGCAGGAAGAGCCACCAGCAGCGGAATGCAGCGGGCCCGCAGCGCCGCGCCCGCGCGCGCGGGCGAGAGCCCCGCGCCAGGCGCCCGTCCTCCGCAGGGGGGGGTTCGGCCGCGGCCTCTCGTTTCGCCTCCCATGATGGATTGGCTGCTGCTGCTGCGAAGCATCGAAGCCTCATCTCAGAGGAGCAAGAGAGTCAGAGGAGGAAAAACGTACCGATACCGCTGCACTTCCCTCATTTTCTCCTTTTTCGGATCCTGGAAGGCCTCCGTCGCCATCGTTGGATTCGCCTCGGAATCTTGGTCAGGACGCACCCCTGGAGAGGTCCTGGGAGTGGCGATATCGGTACCTTTTCGGTTCCCCAAGGTTGTGATGATGATGATGATGATGATGATGATGATGATGATGATGATGATGATGATGATGATGATGATGGTGATGATGATGATGATGATGATGATGATGATGATGGTGGTGGTGGTGGTGGTGGTGGTGATGGTGGTGGTGGTGATGATGATGATGATGCTGCTGATGATGATCATGATTATGATGATGATGACGATGACGATGCTGATGATGATGCTGATGATGATGATGCTGATGTTTATGATGATGGTGGTGATGGTGATGGTGCTAATGCTGATGCTGCTGCTGATGGTGATGATCATGATGATGATGATGATGATGACGACGATGATGACGATGATGATGATGATGATGATGATGATGATGATGATGATGATGTTGATGCTGCTATAGATGAGGATCGTGGTGGTGATGACGGCGATACTGATGATGCTGTTGATGATGCTGATGACCAAAATGGTGATGATGCTGAGGATGATGCTGATGCTGCTGATGCTGATGATGGTAATGGTGACAATGCTAATGATGGTGATGATGATGCTGATGATGATGTTGCTGATGATGATGATGCTGATCATGATAATGATGATGATGATGATGATGGTGGTGGTGGTGATGGTGATGATAATGATGGTGGAGGTGATGATGATAATGATGATGATGCTGACGATGATGCTGCTGATGATGATGATGGTGATGCTAATGATGATACGCTTCCAGATTTCCAAGGTCCCCAGGAGCTCCAAGATTCCCGAGTGTTCCACACGTGCCCCAGAAGCGATGGCCGCCAGATGCTCTGGAGATCTTGAATCGTACCCTGAGCCAACCCTATCATGACATCATCCTCGTCCAATCAACAACCACTCGAGCGATAAAGAATATTAAATAGTACGTCGCACCCTGTAGTTGCGGATAAGAGTGATGGGGGCGGGTGCAGGGGTGGTCGCGGGTGGGTTGCGGGACGGGTTCTCGGTGTTGGTTCGCGGGGTGGGTCGCGGGTGGGTCGTGGGGGCGTCGCGGGGGGGACGACGATAACAACCACTTCACCCTCATGCGCTATGCTTCTATATACCAGACCCAGATCTCCCGCCGAAGGCGGTCGGGCCAAAACCTTTCCCTGGGCAATTTCCCACTTTCAACTCGCACTTTTTGGGGAGCGCGGTGGAGGTTCGACATACGAAGGGTTCGGGCCTAAGGAGAGGGGCAAGTTGTAGGAACATACGTAAACCAGTAAGGATTCAAGCCCCAGTCGAGGGGCAATCTACAGGAACATAGGCAACACACAAAGGATTCGAGCCCAAGTCGAGGGACAATCTATAGGAATACACCTAAAGCACGAAGCATTCCAGCCCCAGGAGAGGAGCAATCTCGATCCTCGAACCTCGAGGATCGAGGAAGGAGATACTCCTCGCTCAGGACGGGTCCATGGAACCCCCTCCTGGGGTCAATCCTCGCACTTCTAGCCGCACACGTCGTCCTTAGTCGTTGTCGTCGCCCACCGTAGTCGTCATGATCCTTCGTCGCCGTCGTCCGTCTCCGTCGTCCGTTTTCGTCGTCGTCGAGGTCATCGATGTTGTCGCCAGTCCTCGTCGTCCTCGCCGTCCGTCGTCGCCGCCCGTCGTTTCCCTCCGTCGTCGTTGTCGTCGTCCGCCCGTCGTGGTTCTCGTCGTCGTTGTCGTCCGCCGTCGCCCGTCGTCGTCGTCTTCGTCGTCGTCGTCGTCCACCGTCCACCGTCGTCGTTGTTTTCGCCGTCGTCGATGTCCGTCGTCGTCTTCGTCGCCCGTCGTTGTCGTCCGCCGTCGCCCGTCGTCGTCTTCTTCGTCGTCGTCGTCCGCCCTCGCTCGTCGCCGTTTCCATCGTCGTCGTTGGCACCGCCTGTCGTCCTCGTTCTCGCCCTCGTCCTCGTCTTCCGTCGTCGTCATCACTAGCGTCGTCATCGTTGTCGTCGTCGTCATCGTCGTCGTTTCTTGCTGTTCTCGTCGTCCGCCGTCGTTCGTCGTCCTCGTCGTCGCTGCCTCGCCCCCGCCTGCGCCTCAGGCCGCCGCGGCGAGGCGGCCAGCGCAGCTCCGGCGGAGCACGGGGCGGCCACCGAGCAGCTCGGGGCTCTGATGGCCCTGCTCGGGCGGGGGGGCTCAGCTCTGCCGCGGGGGTGTGGGGGGCGTGCTCCCCGTGGGCAGGAGGCCTCTGCAGCGGCAGGATCCTCCCCAGGGGGAGGAGGAGCAGGAAGAGGAGGATGAGGTGGAGGTGGAGGAGGAGGGGGAGGTGGAGTGGAGGGGGAGAGGGAGGAGGCGGCTTCCTCCCCGCGGGGGAGGAGGAGGTGGTGGTGGTGGTGGTGGGCGGAGGAGGGGGATGACGCGGAGGGGGATGACGCGGAGGAGGGCGAGGACGAGGAGGAGGAGGAGGAGGAGGAGGGCGAGGACGAGGGGGGGGTTCAGCCAGAGGTGCATCGCAGTCGGTTGCGTTCGGTGGTTAAGTTTTGTCGGATGTTGTATGGTTGCTGCGTCGTTGCGCCCGTCGAAGCCGCGTCCGGTCCGTCGGTTTCCATCCGTTTCGGTTTCACTGTAAGCTCGGTCAGTTCGGTCGGTCTGTAGCCATTTTGGCTCAAGTTCGACCCCCGTGTCGCGAGGGCTCGAGCTTGTGGTTCCGCCGCCGTGCCACAACCATCGAGCGGGTGGCCGACGCATCGCGTGTGCCCTGAGTGTCGAGCAGATGTCCTATCAAATCAGATCTGCTTGCTGCGATGCAGGGACAGCTTCTTGGATATATGGTGCCAGCCCCCGCCGGGATTGCAAGTTCTGTGGGACGCGCTTTCCTGGGAGATCCAACAGGACAGATGATAAGGAGTCTCGAGTTTGGAAAGATGACGGCGCGAAAAGTGCTGACAAGAAGACGACGGAACTAGAGGCGGCTGATTGCGCGCGTGGGGTGGGTCCAGATCCTGCAGCCTCTGCTCATCTTGATGGCGGCGCTTGCCCCGCTCGTAGGCTTGCCGCTTGCACTTCGAGCTTTAGGAGCGAAACAGGGCCACCTTGAAGGATAAGGATGAGGTGCGTGCTCTCTACGGGGAGTGTTGTATCTGATGAAGATTTATGGATTGACAGTGCTGATCCCTTTGCTTCACGTAAGGGCCCTGATGGTTCCACTGAGACAAAGTTTATGGTTGCCCAGCAGGATGACCTCATTCAGGCCCTCCAGGCCCATCTTTGCAACCTCAAGGGCGTCCGTGCAGCAGTTCCGGGTCGTCGTGACATGGCTCGTGTCCAGGTTCATGTCAACATGGCCAGGGATGCCAGGAACAAGTTTTTCAGTCCTTCTCAGCACCGTGCTCTTTTGTCTTAGCGGGCCAAGTGTGTTGACAGAACGTTGCAGAAGCTTGATGAGCAGATTGCAGAGTACACCCAGCATATTGATGATCTCAGAGAGCACCTGGACATCTTGGAGACTGCGCGCAAGAAGCGCCAATCTGAGTTGGAGTCCTGGCACTCTCAGTTGGAGGCCTTTCCCCAAAGCTCCTGAACCGGAATAGACCCAGGCAGCCCACCAGGACCATGTTTGTCGGTTTGGCGAACTATCTCCCCGTGGGTGCTCGCGATGATCTGTTTTTTCGATGTTGGAATAGTTACCGGAGCATGCAGCAGCTAATGACATTGACCATGATAGGATCCCTCCTCACCTTTCGCCTGTGTGCCCACTTGAGGGGGGAAGACGAACGGCAGGAAAAGAGAGGAGACAGCAGCTGACATGGAAGTTGAGAGCGCCCCTTGGTCTAAGCTGGGTGTTGCCCCCCCCGCACCTGCCAAGGATTCTGCTTGGCTATCGAGCAGACATACGCTAGGGCGGCTCTTGCAGAAGGTCTGGATGATGGCACTTCTTACCCGACTGGGGATTCAGGGGCAGGGGGGCCGCGGTTTGACACACATTCGCCTTTCTGCCATAATCAGTCATATAGTCATTCATGGGTCTTGTTTTCTGTGAGCGCCACGTCCCATGTGAATGCTGACAACTAGATACAGTTCACGCTAGTGCGATGTTGATGCTGTAGCGATACACGAGCTCTGTCGGGCTCCAAACTTTCTTGACTCAGCAGGTTTTCGTGCGCACCGTCTTAGACGGCATGCGCACTTCCTGCAGAACATGTTTTGGATTCGGGGTTTGCCATGCTGCCGCAGTATTCAATGCCTTCTCGGACATGCCATTTGACAAATGTGTGATATCCCTTCCCTTCGTCGTTGCGTTGTCACGTTGTGGCACGGCATGGTGGGCATGGGCTTCCGTGGGTGAGTCTGCATTGTCATGCGGGAGAGGGGGCCGCCGATCGTAACTCCCAGCTGATGGTGCAGGTCGCAGCAGTAGTCACAAGTACCGGGCCTCCTTGCGCTATCGCAGCTGATTGGGGCATGTCTCTTGGCGATTTGACGGGCACAGGGTTCTTGGAATTTGTGGATGGTATGATCATGGCCCCAGATGGGCACGCGTACGGAAGCGCAGGTGCCTGCTCCAAAACTGATTACTTCGCGGCCCATCACGCCTCCCAATCTGCAGCATGCAAAGTGCGAGTCCCGCCCCTCATTCCCAAGCACCAGCCAGCGGCCCCACATGTCCAGGGTTCCGCGGGACGAGATCTGGCCACTGATTCCTGGGAGCTGGTCGTCATCCCAGGCCGCCATCCCCACGGGGTGCAATGCTCAGCCGTACCCCTGGGAGTGGTTCCCGAAGCATTCTGATTGAATCGGCTCACCTGAGATAGCTACTCGACAGTGGCATTCGACGGCTGTTGAAGACTTTGGCTGTGGAGCCATTTGGAACTCATCAGGTGTCACCGGCATCTCCAGATATGCGGGGAGAGCACCCCACTACCTTGAGTGTATCAGCGTTGTCGTTGCTTCCAGGTGGAGTTGTTACATCCTTGCAGGAACGCGTTAGCGATTCCTCTCCAACATGGTGGGTGGTCTCTTGTATTCGGCAAAAGCAGTTTAGGGGCTCTCTCGCTGCTTCTGCAGCCAGCGTCAAGCGCTACTACCCCTCTCGTACAGAATGGAAGCCCGATGATCGCGGTGGCATCAGCGCCTTCGTCGCCTTCCTCCTGACCTGTCCACCATTGCTTGATTGAGGACTAACTTGCCTGACGTAGCTTCGTTTATGGAGAGGCAGCATCAGTCGACCTCTATCCGAGCGGGTCTTCATGGGTAGCTACGTCTGGCAAAGAATTGAGGGGGTGGCAGCTCATTGGTTTGTGAAAGGCAGCATGGATCGGAACGGCTCCGGCGTCGCCCAGAACCCTTCTGCCAGTGGCCCACCGCGTGGAATTCTTTTGCTCGTCGCGCGAAGGCGACAGAACAGTCCTGGCACGGTATGCGAGGTACCATGTGCCCGCGCGAATCCGCGCGAATTGCGTGATGTCCTTTGTGAGAATGTGCCCTGGCCTCCTGTCTTGACGGAGCGCCCTGCATCCTGGCCCGCGCCTGCAATGGAAAGATACCGCGGGGCGCGCAGCAAGATGCGCGGCGCGCCCGCGCGCCTTGATTGGATTCGCCCCCCCACCGCGCCTGATATTCTGGAATATTCGCATCAGACTTGGAGTGCAATGCCTCGTCTGAGCCGTCTTCTATTCACAAATGCGAGGCTTGCCATTAACCCGCCGCCAACTCCCGACGGAGGAGAACGCGCGGTCGCTGCGTTCACCGCATGCGCCCGCGCGTTTACACGGCATGTTTGACGCGCGGCGCGCAGCGGGCTCGACTGCATCCTCGCCCATGCATTTAGAGGGTACGCTCAACCATGCATGTCAGCCGCGAGTATGACGCATGGGCGTCTTGGCTGAGTGCGCAGCGTCTCATGGTCGATCGGCGTTTGCTCTTGTCATGGACATCAAGACAGCATTTGAGCAAGTTCGCCGCCGGCCCATCTTCCAAAGAGCGGCCGAATTGCTCTGAGCCGCGCGCTGCTCAGAGTGCTTCTTGCTCTGCGTCGTTTTCCGCGAGTTTGCCGCCCCCCCTCGGGTCGCGGGCGAATGGGCGTCAGCAGCTGTGCCCATCGTCGCGGGGCGTTCGTTTGCAGACTTGCTCGTGCGAGCCATGCGGATCCCAGATCTCGACGCAGGTCCGCGTGTCCACCCATCCCTGCGCGCGGGGCCGGTCGCCGATGATCTCCCGTTTCTGAGAGTGGGGGCTGGGTCCCAGGTCGCAAAAATGAGCCCAAACTCTTCTCGCGTGATAATGAGTTTGCCCGCCTCCCCCTGCCGGGGAAAAAGTTGGCGCCGCTCGCGTCGGGCGCCTCGCTGGCGTGGGGGGGGGGGGGGGCGCTGGCCCCTCTCGTCTTGCAGCTGCCGCGCGTCTCTCTTGAGGGAACTTTGGCATTGCTTCCAGCCGCGTCGAAGCAAGCGAGAGCGGCGCTCTTCCTGGGTGGATGTCCTTACTTTTTTGGGGGCATCGCTGACGGCGTTCCCATGGAAGCGTCTCGCGCGGTCACTTTGCAGACCTCGTCTGCTGCATTTCAGGGCCCTGGTCAGATACTCGTGGCTACGTTGCTGCGTCTTGATTAGCCTCTGCCCCCCCCCCCCCGCCGAGTGGAAGACGCCCTGAGGCTTTTCGGCGGATCTAACGACTACTTCTCCACGCGAAAGAGTGGCCCTAGTGGATCGCGCTGCGAATGCACGGGCCCGGCGGCAGACCTCTGCGAGACATCCGCTGTGGAGTCGCCGTTCCCCCCCCTCTTCTGGGCCCCATTTGCGCCTCGTAACGCGACGGCTCCAGGGTGGGGCGAGTTCAATTTTCGCGCTCTGGGAGCGTCTCTTTCGGGGTGCATTGATATTAAGCGCTGGTGCCCCCTGTGCGGTCTTCTCCCTATTACTCACGTTTACCACGCCATGTGGAGGCGTCGCGAAGTGGATGAATTCCGAAGGTGCTACGGCGCGACCCTTGCCTTTAGGTTGCGCCTAGCAGCTTGTGCGTACGACTAGCCAGGACTTCCGCGATCGCCTCTGACCCGCGCAGCGCCGCCGCGGCCGCGGAGCCCGCCCCCCGGCCAGCGCGGTTCTGCGCTCGCGATGGGCCCTTCGGGGGTGGACATAACCCCCCCCCTGAAGCGTCGATTGGTGAATTGTCTGTCATCGGTTCTCGAGGG